TAATGTGAAGCCAGAAAGGTTGGAAGAACAGAGTATGCATGTTGAAGTTCTACTCTTATCAGGCTCAACTTTGAAGACAGATTATTTCTCTTTTATCGTCTATCTCTCTCCATCTCATTTTCATGTCCCCTTCTCCATCCTATCTCTATAACTTTTATATTTTTGAATATTAACCAAATTATATAGTTTTCTTTGGTATTTCAGTCACAAGTCCTTTCTCATCCTCTTTCCCTGTTGGCCCTTTACAAGCACCTCTCTACCCATTTTTCTCTCTGATGCTTCCCTTTTAATTTAACCCAGTCTCACTTCTCTCTCATCCTCTTGTAGCTTTGTCACTCCTTTGGCCCTCGCTCGCTTTCAGAAGCAATATCAGCAAGGCCAGAAGACTCAAAGAGTACCATGAAGATAGCTCGGCATTTTGAAGAATTTGTTTTGTTTTTTGTTTTTCGGCTGTGTTATGAAGCCACTTTTACTTTGTCCCGCTTGCCTCTCTCTCTCTCTTCGCCTTGATCGCTTCCGCCCCTACCTCTTCCCCGCCTTCTCTTCTCTCTTCAACTCTACTATTGTATACTGGGTACCCAATTTGTGGGATGTTTTCCAATTGTAAGTGTTTATTTTATTCTATATATAAAGTTAACCTTCTTCTAAAAAAAAATAATTAGTGTGAACAAATATATAGAATTTAGAAACATAAATTTACAATCATATTTTAATAAAAGTAGGAAAATAAATAAATAAATTCATACTTGCAATTTGGGATAATTGATAAAGCAACTTAGAAATAAAATCTCAAGTGGTATGAGCTAGTGTTATTTTTTTCTCTTAAAATATCTCGTAAACTAGTTTTCTTGTTAAAATTCAATAAACTAGTATTGGCATTATTTTTTGCTTTTTTAATATCCTATGAGCTAGTACTATTTTTTTTTTTTAATCCCAATTAGCTAAGGATCCATTAACTAATAGCCTAATATTAATCATTTAATCCCATGAGCTAATGGCCAAATAGCATTAGATGGAGTCTATTTACTACAATGCCATCACATCTTCGAGTCAAGAAAATAGACAATGAAGAATTGTCCCACATCGAAGTGATGTGGGAGGACAACACCATATAAAAGACGTTGAACCCAACTTCACAAGCGTCACGTGATGGGGGTGTAAGGGCCACGTATGAGCTTGAGCTTAACCCCAAGTGATGGGAATGCAAAGGTCACATGTGAACGAATGGGGGATGACATAAGGGCCATTATTGGTGGAAGATTTCGATCCGGATCAAAGATTCTTAAAACACTAAAAAATAATATATAAAATAATTGTTTGGGTCCGATCGGGTCCATATCTGGATCCTGGATCCCATGTATACTCTTTGGATCCAGATCCGGATCTGAATATTCTAGGTCAGATCGGGTCCGGATCTGAATCCCACATATACCTTTTGGATCCAAATCCGTATCTCAGTGGATTCGGGCTCGATCCGACCCATTCTCAACCCTAGATTGTGAAATGAGTACGACTTAAGGTAGTTCGAATCATATGTGATCATCCAAAGTTGTTTTATGCAGGAGAGTGGGAAGAATATTGATTAAGGCAAAAGGTGACAAATGTATTAAAAATGAGAGTTAGTTTACTACATTTGCTGCAAAGTTCAGGAATGACAGCTCGCAGGAACCTATCAATACGTGCTTTCTTACAAAAATTGGAAATGAGATGATGATGTTTATGACTTCAAATGAATCATGAACTCTAAAATTCATTGGCCCCAATGTTTTAAAAATAAATAAAAAAACGGTCCACCAGGCGCCTAGGCGGCCTGAACAAAAAAACCACATACCTCGACCCAAGCAGCCCTACACGGGCGGTTGTACCTAGGCGGGCGCCCAATGCCCAGGGTTGTAAGGCGTTTGTCAATTTTTAAATTCACCCAAAAGGGCAAAGGGGGTCACTTTGACCCCCAAGTTTGTATAAAAACATTATGGGGTTTATTTTTGAACACCAAAGTGAAAAAAAAAGAAACCGTCAATCTCCAAACTTATTTTTGATAATCTAGAGTAATTTCTAAGAATCGAAGGTATTTTTTGTGGATTGAAAAAGTTTTCTTTTCCCATTGAAATTACTTTTAGGGTGCTATTGGTGGCATTAGAAGACCCTTGAGTTGATTCGTAGCTCGATTGAGGTAACCAACATCGAAGATCAAAGATTGGGTAAAAAAAGTCAGTATATAATCTTTATTTGAGTTTTATTTTTCCAATTTGAGATGTCTTCTGCGGGGTCTAGTAGGGGTAGAGATCCAGGATGGAAATATTGTATTAACCCTTATAAGAATGACAAGAATAAATTTAGGTACAATTTCTGTGGACATGTTTCTAATGTCGGCATAAATAGATTTAAGAAACATCTTGCCTGTATTAGAAGTGATGCTGCCCCATGTAAGAAAGTCTCAGATCTTGTAAAGAAAAAATTTGTGAATACATTGAAGGGGAAAAGAGTAAACAAATTGCAAAAAAAAAAAGATATAGTAGAATTAAAGTCAAGGGTCAATGTTTTTTATGATAATATTGACACTGAAAAAGATGATGAAGAAGAGGAAGAAGAGGTAGCCATGGTTGGTACTCAGAGCTCTAAGAACAAGAGGGCTTTTGGGTCTAAGAAGCCTCGTATGAAAGGACCTATAGATAGTTTTTTTACACGTAGCCCTGAGACAACAATTAAGAAAGGCAAGGGAGAAAAGGGGAAAAAACAAGTGACAATTGAAAATAAATTTAAGAAGGAAGATAGAGGCAAGGTGATTTAGTTTATTGCTCGGTGGTTTTACCATGCAGGCATTTCTTTTAACACTGCTCGCTTGAATGGCTTCCATGCAATGTTGAAAGCAATTGGGCAATTTGGGCCAGGTTTGAAAGCTCCAACTACTTATGAGATTGGAGAGCCACTACTGAAGAAAGAAATCGAGTATACTAACGAATATCTCAATACCCATAAGGAGGGATGGGCTAAATTTGAGGTTTCTTAAATGACAGATATGTGGAGTGATAGGAGGAGGAGTAACATGAATTTGTTAGTAAATTGTCTCACGGGTACAATTTTTTTGCGCTCAATTGATGCTTCCAATGATATTCATGATGCGCATTATATATTTTATTTTATTGATAAGGGCATTGAGGAGGTGGGGAAACTTGTAATTCAAGTGGTCACAAATAATGTTGCTCCCAATCTAGCTGCAGGTCATTTGCTTCGACAGAAGAGGCCTCACATATTTTGGACTCCTTGCGCTGCACATTGCGTAGATCTTATGCTTGAGGCCATTGGTGAATTGTCTATTATTAAAGGATTTCTTTTTAGGCTAAGGAGGTTATAATCTTCATATACAATCACATACTTACAAAAAAGTGAGAGCTAGTGAGGCCTGGGGTCACTAGATTTGCCACTGCCTACCTTAGTCTACAGAGCATGTATAAGAGGAGAATCGCATTAAGGTCTATGTTTGCTTCAGAGGAGTGGAGTAGGTGTAAGTGGTCTAGAGATGCCCAGATAAGGAAGGCACGGGATATTATTCTTTCGAAATATTTTTGGCGTGGGGTGAAGCATGCGATATTAGTATTTCTTACCTTGGTGAAGGTCTTGCGCTTGGTTGATGTTGATAAACCCTCCATGGGCTATATATATGATGCAATGGAAAGGGCTAAGAATAAGATTGTAGAGAATTTGGGCAATGATGTAGCCAAGTATGCCCCAATTTGGGAGATTATAGATGACAAATGCGATAGGCATCTCCACAGACCATTACATGCAGGGGGTACTACTTGAACCCCAAATTCTTTTATGCAGATGCGGATATTGAGTCAAAAAGGATAACTATGGAAGGTTTTAATGAGTACTTTGAGAAATTAGTTCCCGATCCACATATACAAGATAAGATATCAACTGAAGAGCTAATTTCGTACAAGTGTTCTTTGATGTCATTTGGTAAAGATATGGCATTAAAACAAAGAAACAAAGACAAACCAGGTAGTATACTTTTGACTTTTGTTTTATAAATTATAATTTTCTTTCAAGTTTCAACTTTCAAGTTCTGATAATGTTAAATACCTAAATTAATTATAAAGGTTCCCCACATATTGCAGCCCAATGGTAGGGACAACATGGGAGTCGCGCTCCAAACCTCCAGAAGATGGCTATACGGATCTTGAGTTTGACAACTACCTCTTCTGGTTGTGAGCGCAATTGGAGATCGTTTGAGATGGTATTTTATTAATTTACAATTTTATATGTTTTTCTTGTTTATACGTTCATTTTGTAATATAGATTCATAGAAGGTAAGACGATCATAGACTCATAGTAGTTACTTATGCATTTTTCCTTATAGGTGCATACAAAGAGAAGAAATAGACTTGAGCAAAAGAAGCTCAAAGACTTGGTTTTTATTAGAAAGAATCAAAGGCTCAAGGAGAAGAAACACCAGCCAAAGAAGGATCCTATCTCTTCAAAAGACATGGAGAACGCTTCATAATGGCTAGTTAGTGACCCTGGTACTGAGGAGGTCTTCCCTGGGGAGGGTTTGACGTGGGACATAATCGAGGAGGCTTCGGGGCAAGCTTCTTATCCTAGGAGGGTCATTCGAGGAATTTCTTCTGCTAGTACTTCACAGAGGGAGATAGAGGAAGAGGAGGGAGATTCAGAAGAACCTCTAGAAGAAGAGGAATAAGTTGAAGAGGGTGATAATTCTGATGATGACGGCCTCAATTCTGATGCAGATGAAAGCAATGAAGATGATGATTTTGATTCTTATTGATGTCTTCTATCTTCTTTTGTAGTAACTTTATTTCACCATCTTGGTTTGGACTTTAGACATTTGGACTATTTCTATTTTGTTATGTGGTTTATATTTTTTTTGCCTTTTTGGACTATTTTGTTGCGTGGTTTACTGATTTTTTATAGTTTTGGAAGTCAGCTTGTTGAAAAGTTGAGAGTTGCAGACTTGGATGTTATTATGGTTTATTTTATGGATATGGAATATGGAGAATATGAGAGTTGGAGACCTTACAAAAGCCTATTAGACTTTTAAATGTTTTGTATGGTTTGAAATTTTGAATAAGTTTATTCTCAACCTGAGATATGTGATATGTTTCTATATAAAAACGTACGTCGCAAACTTGTGATATTTTCAAATGGAATAAATTACAAAATTTGACATAAATGTATGCATATATGTGCCTTTGGATAGCAAATATATAAAAAAATACTAAGAATTTGCACTGCAGGGCGCCCGCCTAGGCGCTGGGCGCCAAGCAGACCGCCTAGAGTTTTTTGAAACCTTGACTGGCCCATGATAATAGTGGATGCTTTAGCCTGTTGGTAATAGTCAAAGATTTAAAAAACGCCAGGTCAGCATGGAATCGCCCGGTCCGACCCGAGAATTGATCATCCGTGTGCCAATTCTGCCAATATATAGGAATCGTCTAAGTCTAGAAGAGAACCAGTGATTTGCAGCAGTAAAAACGTCGTTTTTCTACATTAGAAAACGTTGTTTCACCGATCCTGACCGGGTTTTGGCCAATTCATTGTCTTTACACGTGTTTTTTTGTCAGTTCACAATTTTTCTGCACAGTAAAATGGCGATCCAGACAGCCGAGTCACCGATCTAGACCGGATTTTGCGATCGCCAATTGCATAATCGATTCGTTTTTAAATCATTGGTATTAGTGGCCATTGATAACTTGTTAGCAGTCAATTATTGATCATGCATTTCTGCCGACAATAGCCTTAACATTAGGCTTTTTCAATAAATAAAATGCATCTATATTATTCCTCTTTTTGTTGTGGCATTCCCAAATTATTTAGTAAGTTTATTCAGCAAATAAAACTAGGAGGTGCGAGTTACTTCAAGTGGAAGGCTCAAAAAGGGTAAGGGATAGGCTCAAAAAGGCATGGTTGGAAATAGCGAGAAAAGATATGGGGAGTTATGGCCTCAGTGAGGGTATGGCCCTTGGTAGAGCAGAATGACAGACCAGGATCCGTGTAGCCGACCCCAATTAGTTGGGAAAAGGCTCTTATGATGACAATGAAGATGATTTAGTAAAGAAAAGTCCCAATACTTCCGTCAACTTTCATCACTTTCATCTTCTATACTGTTTTTGGATAGGATCAACTTGTAAAATGATTTGTCTAAGGCCAATCCCAATTATGTTTAATAGTTTGATGATTTGTGTACGACAAGTTCCAATTATGTTCACTGGCTAGTTCATTCTCTATAGCATCTCCTCATCACACACACACACACACAGAAAATAAAAAAAAATCTAAAAACAGAGTTGCAAAGGGCAAACTATAAAACAATAGAAACATATATCAGAATTCTAACCAAGCCAACCATTGCATGATATGTATGTTTTTTTTTTTCTGTTAAGAGAAGGTTAACTTTATACAATTAATTTATAAAAATATACAAAAACCACAAGATGTAGTATGGAGGCAGCCCACAAGACAGGTGCTAAGGGTACCAGAGAGATAGGGAGACGTCCAGAGAAAATAAAACAAGGAACCAAAAGACTGAACTGAAAGTAAACGAGGAAGAAGGAACTGATATATGTGTTGTTGCATCAAATATTATAATGGAAAAGGAAAATCAAAATAGAATTGATGGTGAATTTCCACGAACCCTAATTAGCTCAAACCCAAGCCTTTAACCCCATCAAAAAAATTGAGAAAAAACTAAGCATAATTTGCATTCGTTTCAGCAACAATAATTACAGAAACATCTAATTAATCTCATAACTGTTGGTAAGGAACTATGGCACACATCCAGGGAGCCGAAAATGTCTACGCAAATTTCAGCAACAAATAAAGAAAAAGGGATAAACGGGAGAAAACAATCAGAAAAATAATCCACGAATCAAGTGCATGATTGAAGCAATTGTGAATGAGTCCCAAAATTAATAAATAAACAAGAAAGAGAGAGACCGTGGAAATAGCAACTGTAGAGAGAGAGAGAAAGAGGTACCGTGGTTTTTGAAGAAGAGCCGAGAAAAGTGTTGGCGAGGACACCGAGGGGATTGGAGGAAGATGAAGTCCCCGGAACTGCGCAGGCGGTGCCTCCACTCACCAAATCCCTTAGCGCCATGTTTCCTTCTTTCTATTCACTCCTTTCTCTCTCTTCCTCCTCTGCGAGCAGTCACGGGAAAAAAACTCGACCCCTCCCTCTCTCTCTCTCTTATAATTATCTGTGTCTATAAATTATGATACAGCATCACTTTCTCTCTCTAAACGGAACTGAACAAACAGATGGACGTAGGGTTTATCAGTATCCACCGCTAATCTGTTATCCACGCGCGTCGGATTTAGGGTTTTGAGGTTCGAATCCCTACCCAACTATTTATATCCAACCCAGAGACAAAAACAACTTTTAAAAGCTCCAAACCTCATTCTTTACATCCATAGCTTGAAACGTTGTCGTGATGTTCAATTTTCGACACCATCCTCCTATAAACTACACCTCAAAAAAATACAAAATAATATCACTAAAGCGGTCAATTTATCTTTAATCACATTTGATAGCAATTTTTTCTCTTTCCGTTTCAAGTAGATATGTCATCGAAAATAAAAATTTATAAGTACTTACATAAGTCACGTTAGTTATTTGAAACGCGGAATAATCATGGGCATTTTTGTAGTTTGATTTATATAAAGCCTCAAGCAAATGATGAAAATGCCCCGACTAAAATAATGAGGGGTATTTGTGTCATTTTACACTTAAATATTTGTATGTATCCATTTATAAAAATACCCTAATTGTCTAAGCTTGACAGTATGTTTTTTATTTGTCATACATAACAAATTGGGGTATTTTTGTCATTTTGGTGAGGACTCTTTCGGTCAAATGACAAAATTGGAGGAATATCTAAATAAAAAATATACCCTAATTTCATCCCTTTAATAATTGTTTAAAAATTTCATGCCCTTTAATGATAGTTTCAAAAGATTGGGCTTCTTGGAGGTCAACCTTTGATTTGGTTCAAGCGTTTACGGGCTCGGGCTCGGGCTCGTGGATGCAATCTCAAGCTCGAATCCCAGCCAACATGATGATGCAGGGCCGTGGTTGAGTTCTACTTCGGTAGGGATGCTAAATGGATTGGGTTATTTTTTATTTTTTTTGGGTAATTCAATAGGGAAGACAAGTCTTGCCCGTGTTTTTTTTAAATAATTTAGAAATTAATTTTTTTAAAGGTGGCAGGGCAAAAAAATAAAATGGGATGATAGATAAAAAGGGTAAAAATGAATTAATGGGTCAAGCTACTTTACAAAATTATCAAAGTGGTCAAATTATTCAATTCAATATTAGAGTAGTTAGTTTATGAGTTTCGTTTCACTCTGCTACATTCTCAAAATTTTAATTAAAATATCCAAACTGCCCATTTCCATTTTTGGGAAGACCCTATATTTCATCATTGGATCCAGTTCTTATAAGGCCTAGGCTTTATAAAAAGGGTGCGGTTTGTATAGAGCCTTGGCTCTAAACAATCAAATTAGGGCTTACTTTCGAATAGTGCCGAGAAATGTGCTTTAAATATTTAAAATCTTTGTGATAACCTTAAAATATGTTTTGATCTTTATTTATAAAGTTTAAAGCTTCAAAAATAGTGCAGATTGAACAGATCTATGAAAACTTGAAAATCTTGAAAAATGACGGACCAAAAATACATTACAAAATACATTATTTTCAAAACTTGAAATCTATTTTTGCTCATGTTCATGCATCGTGATTTCAAGATGATCAATTTGAGGATATTTGAGCATCAAAACAATATTTTCTAGTTAATTTTTTGAGGTAGACTCTAATTTGTTTGTTTAGAGCTTCGACTCTATATAAACTCTTCCCTGGCTCTATATAAATTTTTCCCTAATAAAAACAAAGTAAAGCCTCACTTCAAATCCCCGTTCGAAAAGCATTCTGGGCATCGTAAACCTCATTGGAAAAGTGCTCCGGGCATCAAAAATCTCCATGATGGCTCTAAAATCAATTTTTAACACCATTTATAAAATTCAAAACTCAAAAAATGATACGGATCTATTAACATTCATTTTTAAGACAGTCTACATAATGAGTTATACAATACAATATTTTAGGACTTGAAATCCCAACTTTTTTTTCACAACCATAATGGTCAAAGTCGAGAGGATCGATTTGAAAGTTTTCCAACACAATTGAATGGGGCTTAAAACATTTTCCTTCATTATTTGGCCCGGCATGAGCCAAATTATGTGAATATCATTGCTTGGTCAGGCTTACATATTTGGAACATGTATTACATATTTAAAATCTCTCGCTCAAATAGAACAAGGAATAATATGTATGTGACCCAAATTATGTGAATAACATTTCTTGGTCAGGCTTTCATATTTGGAACATATATTTCATATTAAAAATTTTCACTCATATAGAACAAGAAATAATATGTACGTCATTTCACACAGGTTGTAACAATAGGAATAATTGCTGGTGGATCATTTGTTAGAAACTGTGTTTTTGTATATTTGTTTTAGGCCTCCATCGAAGATTATTTCAGAATACTGCAGAGAACTTTTTATTTATTGATTAATAAAGAATATACAATACCCCATATAAATATATGGCTAGTAACCGTTCTGAATAGATACCAATAGTTATTGATATTTACTAATTAATACACTAATTTTATTAAGATATATATACCCATACATATGCATATCCATAATGATGTATCAGTAATGATGTATATCAATACTAATATGAGATATCCAGACTCTAACACCATATGTTGATATGTTAACATTGGGAATGGAGGGTGTGAAGAAATAAAGAACACTAATATTAGGTATAGAATGAAACCATTTATCTTTGGTATAAGGTGATCACATTAATTTTGATCATTGAATGTGAAATTGGGTGGCTACAATTATTTCATTGATCAAGCTCAAACTTCAAAAGAAATTTTTTCGAACTTCGTAACACATCCAAACTATCAAATTTCTCATCGGATGGTTGTAAGTAAAAGTACCACATGAAGAAAATTATTAATAAGATAAAAGTAGCACATAAAAAAGAAATTAAGAATATTGAAATGGAAATATACAATGCTAAAGTAAAAAAAGTTGACATTTATCTTAACTTTTTATAGTAAAGAATACATATTTTACAAAAGAAAATTCATGAAAGATGACCCTAATTCCATCCAAACATAGTTTTCTCGTAAAATCCAAAACTAATTTTATTGAAAAATAAAAATATCATGAAAAAATTAAATTTATACCTATCAAAGGTGAAATGATTAAACACTTGTTTTAGATGGTTTTTAGCACTATCAAAATAGAAACCCACATGGGAACCAGTGTTCGCAAAACCGGCCAGTTAGATCGCTACAGGTAGGGTGGTGATTCCGGTTAGGGCCGGTTTTGCGGTACACATGGTAAGACAAAACTCTCCAAAAAAAATCGAGGCCAAAACCAGCCGGTTTACTGTCGAACAGCAGGTATTTCTTCAAAAACGGTCAGTTTTCGTAACCAGTCCGGTTTACTATTGTTTTCGAGCGTTATAACACTGTTATAATGCATAAAATAACAACCGTTATTTGACCATGCCCTTTATTTTCTTAGATCAAGATTTTACAGCATTTTTTTCTTCCATTTTGTAGCTTTTTTTTGTTTTTTAAGTCAAATATTAATGTTATACACCGTGAAGTTTCTATAGATTATCTATTATTGAATTAGAAGTCGAAAATCAAAGAGTTCTTAACGGATTGAAATGGGGATTTTTGAAAATTAAAAATTTCCTCCATTCTATCAAATGCAGCTTTAATACCTCATAGATTTTCATATAAATGGAGGGCTTTGATTGATTGTTGAAGAATTCAATATTTACATATTTCAATTTTTCCAAAACGATGAAGATTTGAGGTTTTTTTGGGCCCAAAGTATTGCTGCTTGAAGAACTGTTTTTATCCAAACAAATTGATTTTTGATCAATCAATTGATCGATTTTTATCGAACTGATCATTGAATTTTGATCATAAAGTCCTTATCTATCAAATAAACTAGTTATTTTGATTTACTATTGATTAAAAATTTTTATATCAATTTTTTTTTTGCTGCGTTTTTTCCTAAAGTTTTCATGAAGTAAAAAATTTGCAATTTTTTAAATAAAGATCTCAATAGTGAATAAGTTTTCATGAATTTTGGTGCATCTGAATATTAATTCAAGTATCTATCATATCCCCATATCAATTTGTTCAAAAAATGAAGGATTTGGGGTTGATTTCGCCTCTAAAGTTTTTGTATTCTTTGGCTTGATTTTAGGGTTCTTAAAACAATTTTGTTAAAATAAAATTAGGTTTTGTTTTTATAAAAATATGAAATTTGTGATGAATATGAGAAATAAAGAATATATTCTTTTTTTTCTAAAATTATATATTTTTGGTGAGCATGTTGGATTGTTTTTACTGTTATATATTTTTTTACAAAAATATGTTTATTTGTGATGAATATGAGGAAAAATTTTGTTTCTTTTTAATGTTATACATTTTTGGTGAGCTTGTTGGATTGTTTTTAATGTTTTATATATATTTTTTTATAAAAATATTATTTTGTGTTGACTATGAGAAAATATTTATTTCTTTTTAAGGTTATTTTTGGTGTATGTTACTGATGTCTGTGTTCTCAACTTCTTGTTTAGTTGTGACATTTTATTCTAATTTGTTTTTTTCTTTATTACAAGCCATCTATTATTTGTTGCAACTTCATACTCCTTAAATCTGTTTATTAGCCTCTTTGAAGAAAAGAGGTAGAAACTAAAAAGTGTTTTACTCATCTCTTATGTTTCCACATACTGAAATGGATAAAAACTTAACCTATGTTTTTTTTTTTTAATATGCATCTTAATTCTACATTTTAAAGATGCCATCTTATATAATTTTTTTTTTTTCATGTTAAAACCCAACTCAAAAGGTTACTGAGTAAACGAGGTTTGGCCATTTCAAAATTGATTTGGTCATTTCAAAATCGATTTGGCCATTTGAAAAATGGCCACATTTTTTTAAAAAATATGCGATTTGGCCCTTTGAAGCAGCACTTAACACCTTGACTCACACCCTGCATTTGATAACCAAGTTACTAAGTAAATGACGTGCTCTCTCTTACTACGTTGACTCACAACCATTCGAAAAGCTGCGAACATCATGCTACAAAAAAAATACGCCCTCAAACTCAATTCTAAACCGTATTAAAGGATTTTTCAACATTAACACAATAACTTTCAACATCAATATTAAAACAATATGGAAGCATATATTGTTGCATCATCCATTGTTAGTTGGACTTTGTAACTTCACCTATTGAATTTATGTGAAATTATAAATTGTCTTGCATATTTTCATAA